TTTAACTGAAAATAGATGAGGTAGTCGGTCCCTGATTTACGTATGCCCTTCTCTTGGTCGGTCCGCAATTTACATACGAGTTTAAAATCTGATTTTCCTTCTTGACCGCAGTTTACATAAACCAAAAGACAGACATTGTGATTCGGGCGAGAAGAGGAGATGTCTTCGGCTGAGAGAAGCAGTTAATATTATACGAGAAACATATTTTCTTGGGTCTCGGCTTTGGATTCCTAGACGCCCCCTTCCTGTCCAATGAAATCCTACGTAACTGGACATTTCGACGAATATACCCCCCCTCCCCCGAACTGAAGTGAGGAGGAGCGCTGGGCGCCGTCGCCAGGCCGCGACACGACGCGGCGCCGCTCGCAAAGGCAATGCACTGGGCAGGCAGCGGCGTCAGCGGCCAAGTGCCACTTGAGCAGAATACGAAGACAGCAGCAGCGGCGGCGGAAGTAAGTGATAGTAGTAGTGGTGGTAGTAGCGGAAAAGGTAGAGATGGAGGAGGGGACACTCGTGGTGGTGGCTATGGTGGTGGTGGTGGTGGTGGTGGTGGTGAGTATGGTGGTATGGGGGTGGTGAGTACGGTGGTGGCGGGGGTGGTGGGTATGGAGGTAGTGGGTATGGTGGCGATGTGTATGACGGCGGTGTGTGCGGTGGCGGTTGAGGCAAGGGCGATGGCGGGGCGGGGGCGGGGTGCGACGGTGCAGGCAGCGCGTGGGCGCCAAGGCAGCGGCGTGCAGCAGCGCTAGCGCCGCCCATTACCTGCCGCGTGAGACTTTCCCAGCGGCAGGACAGGCGCGCGGGGATTTCGCAAGTCCACCGGCGCTCTGGGAAAACACGCCCAAAGCGACCCGCCCGGCGGGGGCGTTCGACGCGACCCGGGGCGAGGCAAAGCGCGCGGGGTAGGCCGCTCTATGCACGCGCCGGGCCGGTCGGTGGGACGCAGGGCGGCGTTCGGACCGCACAAGCACAGCTTCTCTTCTCTCTCTGTCTCCCATCCCAACAAAAAATGTCCGGGGGGTTGAAGTTAAACTTCTCATGGCGTGAAAGTTAATGCATTCTACCCAGAATAGTCCTGGTACTTATTACTACGGCAACAAATTGTATTTAACGATGTTTGGATGTTAGGCCTCTCGGGTGGCTCGGTGGTTCGTCTGCGCAACCCAGGGTTTGATTCCCGAATTATCACTTTCTCACCCTTTATACGTACTTACGTAGTAAAGAGAAAGTTTACCGCTGAAAGTGGCGATTTTTCGTCACAAAAACTCGTATTGTGGAGTTCCGATATCGAAAAAGTGAATACATCTTGATGTCGTAGGCTTCCGCGGCCACAGTCATGATCTGGGCTGTCCGGGTGACGCCGCGTCATCACATCACATCACGTCGGCACATCAGCCATCGACGCGGCATCACCCGGACAGCCCAGATCGTGAATACATCTTGTTTTCATAAGTATAGTAATGTTCTTACTACAGTATGTAATGTGAATCCAAGTTTTGTGGAACCTTTATTCGAAAAAACTGGTTAACGGCATAACATCAGACGGTCCGTCGGTCTGTGGTCTGTTTGGTGAGGAGCAAGAAGAAACGAAGACAACATGGAGAGATAAAAGAAACGAAGATGACAAAAAACAAAGAAACATGAATGTATGTATAATTGTTTCCTACATTACGAAGCATAAACCACACTGACGCGCGCACATAAACCACATTGATCACTCCAAATGACCGTTCGTAAGAGATCTGCATTAAGTACGATCGCACACGCGGCTTTAATAATCCACCGTGAAGAGCGTTCACATTACTATATTAGCTAACATTATTGTATACACATATGAATTGGCACGAGGTTTAATTTAATCAGCATTCTTGCATCAAGCATCGCAGATACTTGCGTCACCACTTTAGGGGATAGGGAAAGAAGAAACGACGACAAAATCGGGAAATAAAAAAAAACGAAGGACACAAGACCAAGAAGAAACATGAATGTGTAATTGTTTCCTACATTACGAAGCACACACCACGCTGACACGCGCACATAAACCCAGAAGCATAGCGTGGGTGTCAGCCGCCCCCTTATTTAGGTATTTCAATTTTAAAAAACAACAAAAATACACAGTAATTCTAAAGAAGGAGAATAAAAGTACGAGTTGGATTCGTAAACGAAAGTATTGTAGAAAATTTCAAAATAATTACTAATAAATTAAAAAATATATAACCTACTTTACTAAAATTTACTTCCGATTATTTTATTGTAATAAATTAAAGCTTGGACAACAAAGATAGTTAAACATACAAGTACATAAATAAAAAAACCTAAACAAAATAATTATTATTTAATAGTCAAGTGTAAATGTATATGAACAATACAATTTGTCAACTAAGTTCAATAATTTAACAATCACTACACGTACTTATGAGCTCTAAAACAGCACAGTTTTGAAAGTACATTCATGTATACGATTATGGTAATGTGAATTGGACGACTGACGATCCATCAATGAAACTTTCTTTAAATTGTCAAAGCGTCACTCACTAACTTCTCTGAAGGGACTTCTCCGTACTGTAATCTAATTTGCAGGTGTTGTTATACAAAAAATTGAACACTATTCTTTATATGACAGAAGGCATTCCCACTGAATATTAGTCATAAAAAAATCCAAACATAAAATAAAACCCCAACCAGTCAAAACAGACTATGTTGCCAGTCGCTACAATGAGCAAGATATTATTATACATTCATTCAGACAGAATAACTAAGGGAAGATTCCGTGCTCCTTTCAATCGGTCCGAATAGTAGATGCGACAAAATACAAAATAAAATTGTTCAAATTTTTACATATTATTTATTATTATTATTATATTATTATTATTATCATCATCATTATTATTATTATTTTGCCGCCCGTCGCCCCCACAACGCTTCGCCACTGCATAAACCATCGCTGACCCCAAACGAGGGGCGTTTGTGCGAAATACGAGCGTGGACCGCAGAAATTGGCGGAGGCCGAAAGGGCGAGCCTTGCGTCGACCAGGTGGCTGACGGCGTGCCGCAAAGGTCTGGTTCGCCGCCCCTGGGGAAAAACCTGTGGGCATGATCATACGAATCGTTAAGCGGGGGGGGGTGGGGGCTCCCAAAGGCAGCGGCCAACGGGGAAACGGGCGCACGGCCAGGGGATGCGACACCGCCAACAAAACATCGATGTTGCTAAACATCGATGCTCAAAATTACAACATCGATGGTTTTGAAACTAGATTGGTAACCATTGCAATTCACACGGGGGCGGGAGGTGAGAGGAGATTTAATTTTAAAGTGATACAGTTTACTAATTTTTAATTGAGTTTTAACTCACAAAACAAACATCACGGCAATTAACAAAAATTGAATTATCTGATTCGATAATTAAACAATTATATAGGCTGATTCACGAAAACTATCTTATTTATATTTCACCACTGATCATTTTCGTCTGAAGGATATTCAATTTATGGATATCTGGACATTATACACTTTCTTTTTTGACGGACTTTATTAATTTAAAATAAAACATTAACTACGTAAAAACATTTAACACAAAACATCGACGTTACAAAAAATAATGTTAAATACATCGAAATTTTCATAAAAACGTCGATGTTTCCAAAACGTCGACATAACACTCCAAGTGCTGACGCGCGGCGGGACGCACCGCTCTGCGAAACCTGAAATCTCCACGCGACTGAGCTCTCTCCGGTCAACAACGCCCATCTGAAAATGCCTTACGCAGCCGTGGGGAAGACGAAGTGCTGTAACGTACGTACGTCGAGTTGCGAAGAAAACCACTAACGAGAAAGGGAGTTTTCCCGGCGTTTTAATACGCATTGTCATTAAACGATTGTCACAAGAGAGAATCTTCTCCACATTCATGTTTGGAAAATATAAATACGTGTTAAAGCGTGCCATCAAGATTTTCGGTTCAATATTTGGAGTGACGGTATAGATAAGATTCAGATAAGCCCAAAAGTAGTTTCGAAACAAGCGTTTTGTTGAGTAAAAAACTGCCACAACTATTCGTAAAACGTACAGAAACATCGTTACAGTCAATTCTTCAGATGCATGACAGTTCGCGAACAAGAAATTCTTTCATGGCACGACACAACAAATGAATTGAATTAGAAAAAAAGAAATTTTCTATTACATGCTTTTTTACCACATGTCAACATAAACTTTCCCAATGTCGAGCTGCTTGAAATACCTCCAAGCTCAGAGTTTGTACATCCCCGTTCTCACATACTACGTCACTAACATTGAGCACTTCCGCCGACGAGACACCCACAAGATCACAATCTCAAGAATTAAGGAGGAATGCTTACGTATCTCAAATTCAAAAAAGGCTGATGGTATGTCCCACAACAAAGTATTCTGACCCGGGCACAGTCAAACACTAAGAATATGAAGTAAAATATGTCGCGTTTTAATAGTTCATAAAGGTATAGTATACAATAATTCACTCAACCACAAAATTCTAAAGAAATCCTACAAAGTTTAAGACGATGAACGGATAGTTACAAGTTCAAAGTTTCAAAATATTGTACATGCAGTCCTCAAATTAACTTGTTAGTATTGTGAAATTGCCTGTCATGATGACAGTTCCCGGCATGAGACTACAGTAACCGCACAAAGTTGCAAAAATGTAATCGGCAGATTTCGATAGGCTTTTTGACTTAAATGAAACGGAAACAAATTGTAATTGATTACTGTAGTCTACATTTTTCAATAACAAAAGTTTCTTGACAATACAAAAATAAATTCCTTAAGCCCATTTTTTTAAACTAACAGCAAACATCGCTCGAGCTTGTGTCAATTTAGTTGGCAAGTGAAAATGAGAAAGCATTACCAAAAAAAGAAGTGAATCCTACCTCTCTTATAACTAATCTATTTTAATATATCTAATTCCAAACGCGCACTCCAATACCTATTACTAACATGCTGACGAAAGATATTGAAAAAGGAACATTTACCAACTCCATATTTCTTGGTTTTCGTAGGTGACCACATGATGAATTAATCCCAATAGCCAGCAGTCGAGTCAGTCATTCATTGCAGCTGTAGCACAAAAAATCAATAAACACAGTCACCACTATTGCCCACGACATCGTTCTGCACTACACCATTCATGTTTCTGGACAGACTAAGCTACTGAGCGAACCAAGATGATATCAAAGATTACAAATGCCGTAGACTTGAACCTGACAAGCGTAAAACGTGTGGCGCCATCTGTTGACGTTCTCTTTAAAGTTGGAGGTCCCATGCGGATAAGACCCTTACCGCTAGAGGCGCTTGTATCGCCTAAACCATTTTTCCTATTCACAAATTTGCTTATTTATGGCACCAATTTGACGCTATTCCACTATGAAAACGGTTTAAATTGTTCATTTGGAATCTAGACATTATTTCACCACACCATTACTAGATAATTCATTACGTGAATATTTTTTTAAAAAATACTACAGGCTCTAGTGATATATCTACTATCCAACAGTGTATCCAATACGTAGATCTGAATAAGTTAGCTAATGCACTAATTTTGCTCGATATATCTTGTACGATTTCATCAATTTTTCGCCTTCTAATGCACTATCAAATCCGCAATATATCCGCAAATTCGCAAATTGAATATTATCAACTCTTCTGGGAATAAAAATACAGGCAGAAACTAGTAGGCCTAATTCAATGACACAATACTATTTCATCACCACCTCCATACACATAATGAGGAATGACATGTGCACTTATATGTATTTATTATGTTCCATAAATTTTGCAAAGGTTAAAAGTTGAGACAGTGTTATAGAATAATTATGAATATTAACGAATAAAAATACATTTACAAATAAATATTTCAACGATTGGTATAGATTCCCTCTACAAACATACAATATCATTAAGTATATAAATAAAACAGCACTTAAAACCAAAAAACAATGTAATTCACAAGATTCTTTCCTCTACTTATTTACAATAAACAAGGTAGGTGCACATTCAACATTGTTTGTTGTGAAAGATTTGAAGTTCCAACTGTAGTTTACAAATGCATTAATTGTGTCCATTAGTAGCGTAACATATCAACATTAAGTTGATCACAGTATTCTTGTTGAAGAACACACTTAACCAAAGTTGATAGATTTTCCAAAGTAAGCTGCCAAATTAGCTTCTCTAAAGGCTTCAGAACAGGTCTGTAATAGAAGGTTCAAAATGATAAATTTTGAGATATAAAAATTAGTTGAATATGCAAAAAACATCACGGGAACATTCACTAATACTTACTGGATGAGCATGGCATACTCTCGCAATGTCTTCACAGGAAGCTCCATATTCCATGGCCAAGCAAGCTTCTGCAATCAATTCACCAGCACCCTGAAAGGATAAATATTGGTTTATAATTGACAAAATGAGGGAGAGTGAATCAAAGGAATTATGTAAGTACTACCCCGGGATGCCAAGTCGGGGGGGAATTGGGGCTACTTGCCCCAGGCTCCCAAATTTTCTCCTTCATAATAAATGAAAAGAGAATTGATTTACAATGTGATTTAACTGCTATAAGTACTTTCTGTTGCATGGAGAAATTAATTCTGAAGAGGGGATTGGTGTGAAAACATTCGTTCAAAATAAGGTGCCCTGTGGATACTAGCCCAGGTCTCATTTGTTTATTCTAAGCACTCCTGACATCACCTTCACTTGTTGGTAAGGATCAAATAATAAAGAAAATATAAGAATTTTGCTTCATAGCAATATCACCCCCTGCTTCAGAATCGTAAACCTTTGAAAACATTCTACCTTCATGTTATTTCTACATCTAACATCATAATACAAAATTTTTCAGGACTTTGTAAACATTAAAGAATAAGAAGCCTAAACAACTCATGCTTTGTTATTTGAAAAACTGAAGATTTAAGTTAGAATTGTAAACTGACATTATTTCAAAATACTTACAGGTCCAATTATGTGCGCTCCTAATAATCTGTCAGTAACTTTGTCACCCAACACTTTGACAAACCCATCTACATCATTATTAGTCTTCGCCCGGCTATTGGCCATAAATGGAAATTTGCCGATTTTATATGCAATGCCCTGAAAAGTACATCAAAAATATATCTGAATTTTACAATTAAATATTATTTTAAAAAATTGTGCACAAAAATGCATCAAATTACTTATGAATCCACTTCCTTTTATTTTAACATTTTGCAAATAAATAAATAATAACCACTTTATATCCTCAGTATACTGTCAAAATTATTACATTGAAATACTGTTGTTCATTGTTTCATCAACTTCATTTATTCTTCCAAAAACATGCACAAAAATAATTCATACCTAAAAACTAGATATTTTAATCAAAGCACCAAAGTTTAAGAATTTAATCTTTTTCCTTACACTTCAAGAATCTTTAACAAAATTAAAACATGAGTTTTTAACTATTATAACAGCTTTACGTTGAATGTTTTAACTTAAATGAGACAATTATGTTTAAAACATTTTTTTCTTGTATGATTACAAAATTTATCTAGAATATACACACTATGAAATTAAGAATTATCATGGCAGTAAGTATAGTTAAAATAATTTATTAAAAGTAATTTCTTCTTGGTTTTCAATTTTAATGAATTTTCATTAATACAATATACAGGTTTGTAGAATAAATGTTACACCCCTTGTTACTCATCTTAATTCACACACTATTTAGTTGACTGGTTACCAGCCTAACTTTGTACTGCCAACTTATGTTTCTTCATGTTTTAGGATAAGATATATTAATTCATTTAGTTATTACTTACACTGTTGGCATATCATTAAAAAGACCAAATTTGGGAAAAAGATTGGTGAAAAAAGGCCAAAACAAATGTATGAAATGATTAATAGTTACTTATGCACCAAGGGATTTATAAGGATTAAGAACCAGCTAACACCTGTGGTACAAACATGATTTTACTTTTGTATGAAACTTTAATGATTCTGATTGACTTATTAACCAGTTAACTGGACTCTGTATTTCCATATTTCCCTTCTATACTTCCATCCATAAGAGAACATGTAGCACCATTCAATTGTTTCATATTTCCCTTTTAAAAAACAAAACTCTCGATCCAGGTAAGTTATAGGCTATATTGAACTCCATATCAAAAGCAATAACCTGTAATAATGTATCGGTAAAAAATAAAATATACTTAATGAATATCTGTCATGAACTAATATTCCATAACAGTGAGACAGAATTGTGGATATAATTTAATTTATTAACAATTTTGAATGCAAAGGAATTCCAAGAGCTAAGCCAGAGTAGAAAAAAGGCTCTTAGAGGGCTGTATTCTTATCAGAAAACATTTTCTGCAGAAAAAAAAGTAAAAAGAATAATCCCCCAAACAATTTCAGGGAGTGAAGTGTTACTATCAATACTGGATACTATAAAGCCTCGCACCAACAGAACACATATTCCCACATTGGAGAATTTCATCAGCGCAACAAATAACGTTTCTATTTTACTATCAATTTAAAAAAAAATTTCCGTTTATCGAAACTTCATCTTATTAGCACTACCTATAAATGTAAAAGTAACTATTTGTGTAACGAAGTATATTAAAATTTGACCATGCTTACAAAAAACAAACAGCATAAATTAAATAATGTACATAACAAAGAAAATATAGATTTATGTTATATGTTGTTATTTATGAAAATATAGTATTATGTTCAGATAGTTAATGCAAAACATGGTAAAAATAACAAAACCTAAATAATAGGGTAAACACACCCCTCAGCCTGATTTTCAAATAAAGATCAAACATTTGAACTTTAGTCAGATTTTCTCTCCTTCTCCATTCCTTTCAATAAAATCATACACAAGTTGGAGACTTACATCTTTCTTCAGATCTTCCTCCGAGCGTCCCACCCAAGCCACTTCAGGGTGGGTGTATATAACAGATGGTACACAGTTGTAATCAATATGAACAGGTCCACCTGCAATGCCTTCCATGCATATAATTCCTTCATCTTCTGCTTTGTGAGCAAGCATCGGGCCATGAATACAATCTCCAATAGCAAAAATGCTGAATAAATGGAAACACAAATTACTAAAATTAAAATGCAATTTTAAGATTCATCGTAAATAATTATCAAATTCTAGAATAAAACACCAAAATGAAATCTTAACAACTCAATGTGAAGAGGAAAAGAACAAGTCCTAATCATTGAATATTATAACATATCAAGTATTGTGCGAAAAGAGTAATAATATAATCTACCTTTTCTGAGCAGAAAAACTGGAGACAACAAACAAGTAAAGATGAGATAATGTAGGGGCAATAGGTATAATAATTTAAATGTATCAGGAAAACAAATATTGTTTTGAATACAAATTAAAATTAACCCAATACCCAAGGAAAATATGTAAAGCCTATAATACATAACACTCGCAAAATATTAATACAAAAAGCTATTCAACAAATTAAGGCAAATTCTTAGGGATATAAAAAAAATTAAAATAAATTGAGCTGTATCAAAAACTGAAGTTCAAGATTCTGCTCATATTTGACCACACATGCCACAGAGTGAGGTCTACCTAGTGCTGAACTTCCTAAAAATGTAATTAAAGGGGCAAAAAGGTTTCCTTTGGTTAGTGACCCAATAGAGAAAAGAGAAATATTTCACAGAATTATATCATATAGAAAATCAAATACATTAACTGAATGGGAATATTGCAAAACCCCACATCTATTTAATACTTTTCTGTATACTTTCTCTATACTATGTATAATACAGAGTATTATTCATAGTATAGTTCATACATAGGGAAAGGTTTGTCATGTTGCAAAAAATCGATTTTGACATTTCAAAAGAAATAAATGTTTTGGGGACCCCTGATACCAAAAAAGTGTTTTTTCCAAAACGCCCATCTGTCTATGAACACTAGTAGCACTAAACCACAAAGGATTTTGTCCAAATTGAAGAAGCCTCTGTCAATCTAGCTTGAGTTGAATCTTTGAGATTTTGAAAAAGTCTTTAAAATTTTGGGTATTTTACATGAAGCCCCCTAACATTTTCAAAAATTTCTCAAAACCGGCTCCATTTTTTTTTTAAATTTCTTTTAGGAATAGAGTAAAATACACTTATAAAAGTGGCATCGGTCCAATTTTCACAGTTAATCCTGAATT